CTTCCTCTATTTTCCTGTGTTTTTTTAATTTGTGCTCCATTTTGCCTCGTATTTTTTGGGAACCATGAAAATAGAGGTACTTGCTCTTTTAAGCAGTTTAGTTGCCATGGCCGAGTTCTTGGACAAAATGGCGTCCTGAACTCATTCTGTTGTACATGAGCAGAAACCCCAGAGAAGGGAGAAATGTACATGAGACAATGTCACTGTGAGAGAAAGCTCAAGGGTTAGAATTATTGCGGTTAGATGCCGGAACCTGGAGTAAAATGCTTTCTATAAAATGAGAGCACTTGTACATACAAATCCGCTTGACTTCCTAAACTATCACTTTCCCTCTAGGAGTCATTAATAAACTGAATAGAATTTCAGATGCTTGGAATGCTGAGACAGTCTCAAACAAGGGGCTGTAGACTCTTGGAGAAGTAGAATATGAAAGATCGTGTATTCCAACCCAACACAGGTGTGATTGCCCCATGAGCTTCCTCTCCACAGAGCTGCTTGGCCTTTGTTCGAACTCTATCAGCGGCAGGAAAGGGCTTTCATCTGCAGATAGTTTGGACTTTTAGAAGAAAGTACTTCTTCATGTAGAATCTGTGTAACTCTCTCTGTTGCTTTGTATTTGTCTTCTCTCTCTGTCTGAGGGGGGAAAATCTAATCAATCAACCAGTTAAAGCAATACACAAAGGGATATATATATTTTTTTCATTTTAATTTTGGGGTTACATTTTTCTCTTCCATATGTGCATAAGTTCCACTAATCCTCCACCAAACCACCAGTCCCAATACCCCTTCTGCCTCCCTTCTCCACTAGCTCCTTCTTCCCCCGTTCTCACTGGTAACCATTGTATTCTTTCACTGAGTTCAAGACCACCAGAATTGCTAAGTTATGGAACCAACCTAAATGCCCTACATCAGATGAATGGATAGAGAAATTGTGGAATATGCTCAATGGAATACTACACAGCAGTGAACAAAGGAATATTTGGTCAGATAGATTAGGGAAACACTGCATGCATAACCCATACCCAAGGAGTTACAATGTGTGTATGAGTATTTAGTGGGGACTGTTAAGGTATGTTTAACCCCCAGTGTTTCACAACTCATTTGATTATGGCCTCACTTTTACCCAGAACATGTTAGAACTGGATCTGGCACATAGTCACTATTCAATAAATATTTGTTTATAAAAGTATATGGATAAAAAAGAAATCTTTAATAGTGTTTCTTGTATCAAGATAGCAAGTGTTCTCCATCTCTGCAAGTGAGACAACCAAAATAGGTACTGATTGGGTGGATAGACCTTCCTTCTCTGTGAACCATCCTGAATAATGCCATTTTTTCCCCTCATCTTTTAGGACTCTTAAAAAGTTCATGTTTGAATTCTGAGCTTGTATCTCATTTGCACAGCTACATTTTAGAGGATATAAAAAAAATATTAGTGATGAGTTGGCAATTTATGGTCAAAGCAGTAACAGCTTATATGTTGCTTCCTGATTGAATGTATGAATGAATTGGCAAGTGTTTTGCTTGTCTTTTGTTCCCAGTGTGTGATTGTGGCTAATTGTACAAGCACATGGTTCTTCACAGAGGTCTTCAGTGAAGAGCTGCTTCATCAGGGTGTTTGTCAGATTATCTGTTGAGACAGCGCCCCCTTTTTTGGCTTCCCAACCAGCCTTTCTAGGGCATTGCATCTTGCTTGAGGTAAGAACGCACGCCTTTCACTTATGAGTAATAGAGCTGTTCACATGGGACAGCTTGACAAAGCTCCTATCATATATGAATCTGGTCAACAAGGAACATGCTGTAATGTGGATTCAATCCAGTCTTTTTCTTTCTCATGCTCTCAAGTAAGAGTTTAAAGGGTCAGTAAGAGGAACATTATAAATCTTATTTGTTCTCACTTTTATGTTCCAGGAAGAAATCTGTGAGGACATTTAAGAGAGTCAGATACAAAAGTGGGTGTGACCCAACGTCAGCTTTTCCCACAGTCAGTTCAATATCTTTGTTGTCAGCAACAACCTCACTTTGCCTTTTGTGGCCACTCAGTGATGACTTGGTGTCTGCCTGTAGTTTCTTTCCTGAATTATCGCCTTTCCTGTCAGTCTTCTCCCATCCCAGAACTTGATCATTTCTGAAAGTAGTAACATCTCTTTTAACCATGATTTCCTCCTTTTTATGAGTATGGAAATATCCTATGGGCACAATTGTGGGGGACATTTTACAATAGGAAACCTCAGTGTGTTTTTCTGATATTGATGGATTTATCCGGTTGTTGGAGCTCATCGAATGTAAGAGACCTTGGGATGCATTTGTTGTATTGCCCTCACTTCTAAAATGGGGGTTAGGAGGCAAGAGTGGGGGTGACTTGGTCAACAGTAGGCCCAGATCTTACCATTCATAGTTCATGGCCATTATTTTATGCCCTAATACCACTCTTATTACATGTGCGGATTAATAAGTTGGAGAGGGATGGACATAAGTTTCTGTAGCTTTGCCAGAAGCTGAAATGGTATGGGAAGCACCAGGTTGCTGATATTAGTGCCTCTAGATCTGCCACCTGGCAAAAAATTCATCATTGTATCTTGATAGATATTCCTTCTGATTAAGGCAGAGGAGAAACTTAGGTCTTCTGTAGGAATATTTTAATAGCTTTTGATAGCTAACACTCTCACCTAAACAATAGAACACATTTGGGGCTTTGTCTTTTTTGCAGGCATCTAAGGCAGAGAAAGTTCTAGTGCATTATTTGCATCCTCCTTCACATGCCTGAAAACAATGACACATGTTTATGGCTGTCTTAAACAGTGTTTTATCTGAGGAAACAGGACATTGAAAATATACCGTGTTCAGGGCCTCCCTGGTGGCGTAAGGGGTTAAGAGGCAACCTATGAAGCTGTCCGCAGCCACTGCAGCACAAGTTCAATTCCCTGGCCAGCCAGGGAGCTACCCACATGGTGCAGCAGACCTCTTCTGTCTCGCCCGCTGCTCCCCTCAGCAGTGTACTTTGGTCAATCTGCCTGTTCTGTTCCCTGCTCTGTCTCTGGTAAATCCTCTCACCCCCACACCTCTGGCCTGCACCCCAGCTCTTGTATGCATAAATAAACCTTAAAAAAAGACTCAGCTGTCCGCATGTGAAGACACAAAAATTTAAGCTGGTACACCTTTGCCAGGGACATGACGGGGAGCCTAAACTTGTAAACGACCATACATTTTTAGGAATTGATTTTTATATCCTGACAAATGGTGAAATTTTTCATGGCATGTGTCTTATGAAAATACATGTCCATTAATTCCATTCTATTTTAAATTGGGGATGGCTGGGTCATTCTGTAAGATAACCTAGTTCTGTAATGTGGGCCCAATGAGAACTTGTAGCACCCTGGAGCGAGCGTATGATCTGATTGGAGGACTGCCGGCAAGGGTGACATGTCATCAGCCTGGCACCACCTGAGACTGGGTCTTTTTTTTTTTTTTTTAAAGCATTGATTCATAGCTTAGTTTTCTTTCTTTTTTTTTAATTAATTAATTTATACAAGCACTGGGTACAGTCAGAAGCGCGGGAGGGTGGGAGAATTCACCAGAGCCAGAGTGGGGAACAGAACAGGCAGACTGATGAAACACACTTCTGAGGGGAGCAGCGGGGGAGGCAGGAGAGGTCTGTCGCGCCATGTGGGACCCTCGTGGGCGGCCGGGGATGGAGCCGGCGCTGCAGAGGCTGCGGGCAGCTTTGCAGCCCAGTGCTCAACCGCTGTGCCACCAGCTCCTTGTTACCAGTCAGCAAATGGGAACGAGGATTTCTATAAGAGACATGGAACCAAGGGCATTCAACCCAACAGTCCCAAATTGCCTAGTTGGGTGACCCATTTTCTCTTCCAAAGCTATCTTTGCCCGTGGGCCAGAGGCGGCTGAGTGGGCTGTGATTGTTGGCCTCTGTGGAGTTCACTAGAATTGAACATTACAAATTAGCAGCTATGATCTGGGACGACTCAAACATAGTGCATAGACGTTCCAGCTGCAACATATGGGCAAAGAGTGAACGTGCCACCCTTTACTAAATACCTACTATCATACCAGGTATTTTGCATTAGTTGGCACAGTACCTTGTGAGGAAGATAGTACTGTGCCCAGTTTCCAGGCGAGGAGGAATTGAGGCTCGGGGAGGCAAAGTAACTTGCTCGTGTTTGTGCAGCCACTAGATGCAACAAGCTGGGATTTGGATCCAGGTTTGTGACTCAAAAGCCACACGCTTAACTGGGCTCTCCCAACTCTTTTTCTGAAATACAAGATGGGGTAACAATACTTTCCTGCAGGCTAAGAGGAATGGGGGGCTGGAAAGAACATGGGACGCAAAGGATGGTGGCGGGGGCTTGGGGGAACCCCAAATACCATTGTATTCTATAAGTATTGACTTTCCCCTCCGTTTGCTTGAACCTATTACCTCGTGTCAGTAGGCACATGAATCTGGCCAGGTGTTTTCTTCACCATACATAATGCTGTACATACTTATGTGTGTGTAACTCTAAAGCAAAATTATTTTGAAAAAGTGAAGGAAAAAACCCACTATTTTCCTAAGGATTATTTGAAACATCCACTCAGATAAAAGATCTGAAATTGCTTTGGAATTGCTAATAAAGTTTTGCAGAATGAGCGGGATTATCAGAAGTAGATGGCAGTCTTCCCCAGCTCTGCGTGACTTCCCAGCCTTTAAGTAAATCTGGTTGTCCTGGAGTTGGGGCCTTTGCCCCTGGTGAGAGGAGTTTGTTTTGTGGCCACAGAGTCTGAGAAGTGGGTTTCTGGTTTACTTGCCTGTGCTGTTTTCATGGTGCGGTCTCCCTGCCGTGTAGCTCGGAGGGGTCAGGGACAGAATATTAGCCACGTGTCTGTGGACACAGGTCCCAGGGATCCCAGAGGTTCTGTTCGCACCCTGAGAAATCCTGCACGTGTTTCTAGTTGTGCTTGAACATGCATCTCATTTTCCTTCCTTTCTTTCTCGTGTGTTACAGAGACTGAGCTGCTTCTGCGCATAAAGGACATCAACCACTTCTTAATGCAAGACATTGCCTTCCTATCTGGTAAGCGGGCCTTTGCATATATTTACACCAGGCAGCAAGGTAGGTTTGGTCCTCATAAGGATCGCCCCCTCTCTCTTCTCTCTCTCTCTATAATTTAAGCACCGTTAAAGAAAATATTTATACATTGTACATGAAATTGTTGAAGAAACGGGCTAGAAAATAACCAGAGGTTTTAAACATGTGATTGAAACCAATCTGATTGCCCGTGTGCATTTGACTTTCAGACAAGTCTTCAGAAATCCTAGGCGTTGCGGCTGCGTGCGAGTGCGGTGGCGCAGCTGGTTTCTTTGAGCGTTTTCTTCCCTCTGTAGCTCTGATGACATAATGCTTATTACGCACGCAGTCAAGTCACCCGAATCAAGCAGCATGAACTGAGTTTTAGGATTTCATTGACGCATGAGAAAGCAAGTGTTCTTTTCCAGGGGACGGAATATGTATTTTTTGATATACACACATTTGTATATCATTTGTAAAGAGGGGATGAAATACATGTAGCATCAACTATACCTTCTTGACCATGAACTTACACTTCATTGGTTTCCATACATGCACACTGTGGTGCGACCATCACTACTCACCCATTAAAGATGAACTCCCCATTCCTCTCCCCATCCCTAGACCCCGGCAGCCATCATTCTGCTTCTTGTCCCTAGGGATTCGACTCTTTGAGGTACCTCGTAAATGGAATCATACAGTATTTGTCTTTTTGTGACTGGCTTATTTCACATGTAGCATAATGTCCTCGAGGACCCTCCATGTGACATGTGACAGGAACTTCCTTTTCAAGGCTAAGTAATATTCCATTGGATTTTGTTTGTCCAGTCATCCATTGATGACTACTTGGGTTGCTTCCATTTTTGGCTCTTGTGAATGATGCTGTTCAATATCATTCCATATGTTTAGAGATATAACATTGCAAGCCACCCTCTCTTTTTAACTTAAATACCTAGAGAAAGTTTTGCTTAAACATAAGCAAATTGCTTGTATTACTTACCTCAGATATGAGAGTAATTTGAGGTATACAATTAAACATATTTGTTATGTTAAACAGATAAGGAAAATGTACCAGCACATGTTTTGTTTGCATGAAGATGAACGCTTCCTAGGTGTCGAGAGTAGAGATGATCTCATTCCTTTCAAGTAATTTAATTATTGCTCCCAAAATGATAACATACATGCTTAGTTTACTAAAAAAGCATTTATTTTATAGATGATCCCAATTGGACACTTCAATCTGGCCTCTATTTTAATGATTATAAGTAGTAGTAATTATGAATTGGTGGTGACTTAATTAATGTGGATTTATGTTTTATTTTATAAGTGTTATAAATGTGTGACATATTGTCACTCTTGAGATTCAGGGATTTTTTTTATTCATTAGTGTTTTTCAAACTGGGTACAGTTTATAGATTAGTCACTGATGGTGATTTACCTATAGAAGAGCCTCCCTTCTTTCCTTGATGGGTACGGTAGAGTGCTTACTAGCTTGCTTGGCAACAGTCAGTTGTTGTATATGTTACAGTACGTGTTACCTATTCTATTACTGTTCTACCCTTACTTTACCTGTAGAAGTCCTTTGTTTAATGATTTGCTAAAAATCGCTTGGTCAGGGCCTCCCCGGTGGCGCAGTGGTTGAGCGTTGGGTTGCGAAGCTGCCTGCGGCCTCTCCCCGGCCACCGGAGGAGGGTCCCACATGGTGCGCAGACCTCTCCTGCCGCCCGCTGCTCCCCTCAGCAGTGTGCTTTGGTCCTTCTGCCTGCTCTGCTCCCCGCTCTGGCTCTGGTGAATTCTCTCACCCTCCCGTGCTTCTGACTGTACTCAGTGCTTGTATAAACAAACAAACAAACAAATAAATAAATAAATAAAACATGCTTCTATTAAAAAAAAAAAATCTCTTGGTCAGAGTTGTACAGTTTTCCCTTTGATTCCCTTTAGCATTCTTGGGTAGATGTCCTCATTCTCAATGATTATTATCTTCATCGTGTTCTTTTAAGTCTAGAATTTTATATAGTGAAGATTTATCATCATTTGATTAGTTTGATTCTAAAGATAATTTGGGTATGGGGACTCTCCTTCAAGTTTCCCTTGGTGAAGATGAAGACAAAGACTGAATTTGATTTTTTCCAAGTGTACTAGAGAAGAGGGTGTTTCTCCTTTGTTGGATGTACTGTTCTATACACTTCTATTGGAATTTGTTCTATGAATTATTGAGAGGGGTGGTAAAATTTCTGATTAAAATTGTAAATGCATCTATTCCTCATTCACAACTCATCAGTTTTTGTTTCATGTATCTGGAGGCTCTGTTATTAGGAACATAAGCTTTTATTTTATTTATTTAATTTTTAAAAATATTTATTTATTTATGTGTGTATGTATGTATGTATGTGTGTGTGTGTGTGTATGTATATATATATATAAGCACTGGGTACAGTCAGAAGTGCGGGAGGGCGAGAGATTTCACCAGAGTGGGGGACAGAACAAGGCAGACCAACGAAGTACACTGCTGAGGGGAGCAGCAGGCGGCAGGAGAGGTCTGCGTGCCATGTGGGACCCTTGCCTGGCGGCCAGGGATCAAACCTGCACTGCAGAGGCTGCAGGCAGCTTAGCAACCCAGCGCTCAACCACTGTGCCACCGGGGAGGCCCAGGGAACATAAGCTTTTAGGATCGCATGTCCCCTTGATGAATTTGCCAATGATTCATCATCAAATGGTTTTCTTTAATATCTAATAATATTCTTGACTCCAATATCTATTTTGTCTAAAATTAGATAGCTTCCTTTTGACTAATATTAGCAGGGTATTAGCAGGGTATTTTTCCCCATTCTTTTCCTTTTAATGCATTTGTGTCTTTATACTTAAAGTGTGTCTCTTGTAGGCAGTATGTAATGGGATCGTAATTTTTTTTTTATCCAATTAAATAATCTCTGACTTTCAATTGGGGTGCCAGATCCTTTATACTTAATGTGATTATTCCTATGGCTGTGTTTAAATTTACCGTCTTCTTATTTGCTTTCTATTTCCCCCCAGTAGTTCTTTGTTTTTATTTTCTCTCCATTTTGGCTTTCTATTGGAATGTTTTTATCATTGCATTTTTTAAAAGATTTATTTATTTATGCATACAAGAGCTGGGGTACAGGCCAGAGATGCAGGGGGTGAGAGGACTCACCAGAGACAGCAGGGAACAGAACAGGCAGATTGACTGCTGAGGGGAGCAGCGGGCGAGCCAGGAGAGGTCTCCTGCACCATGTGGCAGAACACCGGCTGGCCGAGGATCGAACTCATGCTACAGAGGCTGCAGATTGCTTCATATTGCGGTGCTCAACCCCTTGCGCCACCAGGGAGGCCCTGTTGCATTTTATATCTTTTGACATTTTCATGTTTTTATGGCACACTAAGTTGTCTGTATCTTTACTGAAACTCATCCAAAGGACAACTGAAACCTCTGGAAAAAATCAAGGGCCACCCTACAACTTCCCCCCTAAAATAATCTTCAGATTTCCAGTTAGCACTAAATATTGATTGAGCACTAAATATTGATTGAGCACCTACTCTGTGCTCAGCTGTTAGGCTGGCAATAGAGGGACCTTGAGCATTTGTGAGGCCCACGCCTGTGCTTATCTGCCTTTCATTCTCAATATTTCACTTCGTCTAGGCTGCACAGAGTGCTGTGGCGTGGGATGCACACTGAATTTACACCCACAGAGAACCTGTCATCTTTATTTCTTTGCATTAGTAAGATTTCTATACCATTGCTGCTGTTCCTGCTTAATGTTTCTTCCACGAATCCATCAGAACATTGCTATTCCCTGTAGTTTGGTTCCATATTCTTTCATGCTTAGTATGGTTCCAAGTGGTTGATGATAGCAAGTTTTCCACTTGATGACAAGTCATCAATTACCCATTTTGAATTTAGGCTCATGGCATTGGTAAAGAAATAATTATTTCCCAGTATCCTTGGTTGTACAATTTGAGGGGCCAGTTCTATTTTCAGCTATGCTTATTATATGTATTCCATGAAAACTTCTTCTGTGTTCACTCATATTTTCCATTTCTCTTTTCTTTCTCTCTGCCTTCATTTAGAAACCCGTGTGCCTTTAAACTTAGGCACATGGTGCCGTTTTGGTTTACACAGAGATCGTCATCCTTATAAAATTTACATTGATCCAGAAGTGTCTTCTAGCTGTCCCCCTTGAATCTGAAATCCTCCTTATTTTGTTGTCACATGAATTGATAACTAAGTTTGTTTGTTTGTTTGTTTTTGGACTATTTTAGGTGGTCGTGGAAAAGACAATGCATGGATCATTACGTTTCCAGAAAATTGTAATTTCAGGTGTATACCGGAAGACGTGATAGCAAAAGTGCTGACTTACTTGACTTCTATTGCGAGGTATAGCATTTCATTTATTTGTTTTCTATCGGCTACCAATTCACATGTAATAACAGGAAATGGCTTTTTAGTGTGACTGATTTTATTGTAAATGATCATATGGCACACCTTCAGGGTAGATAAGAAATAAAACTTAGAAGGGGGAGCTGACAGATACCTAAAGTGCTATAAAAATTATGCTGAGAATCTGAAAAAGTTGGGAGATCTAGATTATTTGTTCCCATGAAGAAGAACAACATAGGTTGAAAGATGATGATCACACTTAAAGTCTTTTAATTTGCCTAAAAAGGAGTTTACTAGCCAAGAATAAGGATAGCTATTGTTCATTTCTTTCAAGGACAAGAACACTGAATGATAGGGCCTCCCCGGTGGCGCAGCGGTTGAGCGCTGGGTTGTGAAGCTGCCCGCGGCCTCTGCGACGCAGGTTCGATCCCCGGCTGCTCCCCGGCCACCAGAGGAGGGTCCCACATGGCGCGCAGACCTCTCCTGCCGCCCGCTGCTCCCCTCAGCAGTGTGCTTCGGTCCTTCTGCCTGCTCTGCTCCCCGCTCTGGCTCTGGTGAATTCTCTCACCCTCCCGCGCTTCTGACTGTACCCAGTGCATGTATAAACAAACAAACAAACAAACAAATAAATAAAAACATGCCTCTATAAAAAATTATTTAAAAAAAAAAAAAAAAAAAAAAAAAAAAAGAACACTGAATGATAAATAGATTGAAAAGTGATATTGGATTAGGAGGAACTTCTTGATATTGGACATAATTGGAGATTAGAATACTTTCAAAGGAAAAGTTTTGAAATCTTTAAGATTTTTATTTAGGTCGCAGACAAAAAGTGAAGGGAAGTATTTAAGGGAAATGTAAGGGAAACATTTTCTAATTACTAACCTTGAAGACTAAGAGGACCCAAAACTAGGATGATAAAATTATGAAGTCTCGTAATCAAATCCCAGAAAATCTAAATTTACAGCGCATCCACTGAAGCTTAAAATGGTCTTTTGAGGTCAAATAAAAGTTTTATTATCCATTAAGCTGCCTTCCTTGAAAGAACAGTCAAGAGGGCAGCTCCCCTCCCAAGACTGTGACTATGCAGGTGCCTTTCTATTTTTCCTTATAAACCTGTTATTTAAAAAAAAAAAAAAAAAAAAAGAACGGTCAGGAGATAGAAGCAGATATTTAACTGGTTTTCGGAATGAATGGAGGGATTGTTGCTTTGTGGTGGATTGCCCTGGAAAATTAAATGTGACGTCATGAAGGACCAGCTGTATGTGAGGTTTACCCGTACACACGATGGTAGCGTTCCAGGTCCGTTTTAGTGATCTATCTGCTTTACACTGTAAAAATGCCTATTAAAAGAAGATTGTAATTAGTGCTAAAAAAGAAATTTTAAGTAGTGAATAGTGGAATATGGAAGAAAATTGGCTTTCCCAGATAATAATTTGTGATGGCTTTCCAAATCCAAATCTATCTTTAGTCAAGATAGCAAATGTAAATGAGATAAGCAGAAGTAAGGACATGTCTAGCAAATGTGGATTAATACTAAGGAAAACACTGTTTCTTCTTATCTCGCAGACAAAATGGATCTGACTCCCGGTTTACCATTATTCTTGATCGAAGGTTGGATACATGGTCTTCTCTCAAAATCTCTCTCCAAAAAATCTCAGTAAGTGCTGACGTAGCCCATGGTCCCAGTGCATTCATTGTTCCACATGATTTTGTCCTTTGTTGAGGGTGGTACAGATTATTTCGATACTGATGGAGACAATTGGAGAAGGTGGCAGTGGTGAGGTGGAAAGTAGGAAAAATTGGTAGAGGGGATGAAGTTAAACAAACAAATGAATAAATAAATAAATAAACCTAATGGGAGAGGATGAGTGCTTAGGAGTAAGAAGATATTCGTGGATCTTTGGCAGTTCTGAGCAGGGCGAGCTTTTCTGGGAACTTTTCAAAAATGGAAAAGACTGTGTTGCGCGTTGCATACTCATGGTTTATAGGAAGAGGTATAATGAAGACAGTTTGAAACAATCATCAATAATCCAGCACTCTGGGGCCTCCCTGGTGGCTCAGGGCTGAAAGTCTCAGCGTTATCAAGCTATCGCCAGCCACTGTGGCATGAGTTCGATCCCCAGCCAACAACTAACCCACATGGCTCAGCAGACCGCTCCTGTCTCACCTGCTGCTCCCCTCTCTAGTATATTTCAGTAGATCTTCCTGTTCTGCTCCCCACTCTCTGGTGAATCCTCTCAAACCCCACCTTCCTGCACCTCTGGCTCACACCCCAGTTTTTATATTCATAAATAAATAAAAGTAAATCTTTAAAAAAAAAAAAAAACAGATAATCCAGCACTCTGGATTATCCAGAAATCAGTACTTCTGAACATTTTGGTGAATATCCTTCTGAACTCTTACCCAGGGTTGGTGTCAGGTGCTAAGTCCCCTACAAGTTGACAGACCTATCTCCCTTACTGGAACATATTCCCCCTAAGGAACCAGCCTTCTAAGACCCAGAGAGACACAACAGTTTCCCTAAAGGAAGCAATAGGAGAGATGCAGCCCTCCCACAGCCAAGATGTTCTTTTGGCATGAGTAGGCTGGCCCGGATCTAGTGGCATTGTCTGACACGTCCCTTTCACAGAAGAGGAAAGAGGTGAAGAATCCATAGCTTCTTGCACTTGGCAGGATGGGGTCTCTGGAAGTCACACACGGCCACCCTTCTGTCTCACCTGAGCAACGGGGAATCAATATATTTTTTTTCCTTGAGAGGCCAACATCATCAGCCACCTGAAATTCTCACTTTGTCTCCTGACTGACACAGGAGGCCATGTCCACTAGAGGAAGTCAATTCAGTTGTGAAGAGAAGATAAAAATCTAGGTCGGACTTCTGAGCCAGTGTTCTTTTTGCTGTTCTAACTTACTAAGCAGTGTAAAGACTATGCTGGCACTCATGTGTAAGATGAATGAGATCATTATTCTTTTCACACTCAGCATGAATTATTCTTCATCTTGGGCAAGTCTGCAAAGTCATTTTTTTTGTTTATTTCTTTAATAGAGCTGTTTAATGATTAGCAGTAGACAGAAGTCAATACCAAATTCACACGGGTTACTAGAACAAAGTAGTAAAACCTCGACTGTGTGTGTGTGTGTGTGTGTGTGTGTGTACACACACACACATATATATCTTTTCCAAAAACATTCATATTTATTCAGTAAGATTGAGTCTCTCTTTCCTGAGGAAGCACTGCAAGCTGGTATCCTTATAGATGAGGGAATTACATTGACATACACTCTTTGGAAAGGTAATGTGATGAATCCAAGGTCAGATAGCTAAGGAACAAAAAGAGCCAGAGCAAAATTTTTGGCCAAAACTATCTGCTTGACTAAATTAATTTCATTGAGTGTCTATTTGGCAATGCCATCAGTTCGTTGATAAAGTTTTACTTTTATTAATCAAGTAGGTTGCTTGGAACAAAGGTCTTGTTTTTCCTAAGAGAGATATATAAGATCCCATCTTGATGTTGTTAAATTGGGGTCAACAGAGGAATGATGACTTGTTTCTTGTTCTCCTTGCTGGTTTCCTAGGGGTATTCAGAACCACGCTCAGCAAGTAACTCTGCACTGAGGGTTCATTTATCCTCATAACCACCAAATTGGTGGTACTGGGCAGGAGTTGGAGATACAGGTTTCGATGACCTATAACTGCCCATTGGTTCTTTAGTGTTTTTTTTTTTTTTAACATTTTAAATATTTCTGCTGGTAGTCTAATTTCTGTGCCCAGATCCAAGAGCACATTAGTTCTATCTCAACCATTAATAGCCACCATACACTGTTTGCAATAAAGGTAAATATTGAATACAAGGAAGTCTCAAGAGCAGAAGTTGGCTTAAGACAGGATTTCTGCTGAAAATTGCCACTACCTAGATAGGTGTAACTTTGGTGTATTATTTTAAGTGAGTGTCTATGAAATAATTACACAATTCAATTTGAAGAGTTGAACGTGTAGACTCCAAATTAAACTATGCAGTTAGGTTGTACTTCATAATTAATCCGAGGAGTTGCAAGTTTTTGTTTTTGTTTTTGTTTTTTGTTATACATTTGGAAGAAATGTTAATTTGGAAGAGAATCCTGTCTGCCTTAGAAAGTTGATCTGTTACGTTCTTTTTAGATTATCATCTGGACAGAATTTTAACCAATGGTTAACCTTTCACAAGTCTTAAACTCAGAATAGAATTTAATTTAAGCAAAAACAGAACTGAATTTTAAGTTACAGACCAGGGTAGGACAAGGATAAAGGCATCTGTTAATACTACCTTCACAAAGATTCTTAGCATTCCACCTTAAAAAGCAAACTGCGCAGAAGAGAAAGCCAGTCCCATCAAGCCCCTAGGAAGAGTCGGGTTTTTTTTTTTTTTCCTTCTTTCATTCCTAGGATATGCCTGATCTTCTTGAGCAGTCCAACTCAAGCTAATCCATGAGGTTCAATCAGGCTAAGTAATTGGGGGAATGTGTCAGCTCTGAATTACAATGAGCAGCAGGGAAGGCTCTGTCAGCTGACTAATCAGGGATAGTGGGGTTTTTTTGCAGAGCTGCCACTGTGGTAATGGAAGCAGCTTCGGTAGCTTTGTTTAATAGAGGTTTTTGGCTGCCGCTTTTAAATACTACCCAAGAAACAGCTCATATTTCATCAATGTTGCATTGACAATTGGACAAGAAGAGTGTTATTGTGTATAGGCGAGATGGCAGAAGCAAATCCCCCGAGAGGCAAGATGAGGTTCAGAAGGAATGCGGTAAGGGCTCTGCCTGCAGTCCTGGAAAGCCTGTTCCCAAGTTCAAGTGCAGGGATGCGGCAGCATGGTGCTGTAGCACAAACTGCTGAACGGGGCTTTTAAGGACAGATGGAGAATGGAGACTGGTGTTTGCATGGATTGCATTGATGTGATTACTGTGATACTGACATAGGGAAATGTACAGACGTCAAGGTGGTGGAATATAATTTCAGAATCTAAATGTGATCAAGTTTATGAGGAAGCACAGCTAGTCATGTTACTTGCGTAAGACTGTGAGAGCATTTTTTAACTGTTTGGCAGAGTAGCTTTAAATCACGAGTTAATATCTAACAAAAGGATGCATCCCTTCTTCCGTTGTGGTCCAGTAGCGCCTGAGACCGTGCATGGGGCCTGTAGACGACTTCATCAGCTTTTAAAAAGGCAGCCCTTCCTGGGTGTTACTGTACAGGTGAAATGACTGACTTTAAAGTCTGTAATGATTTGAAATCTTTCTGGTTTCAATTCTTCGCTAGATTGAAACTTTAAAGAGGCAGGAGTCTAGCCTGTTGACAACTTTTTTTTTTTTTAAGAAAAAATGGTGACTCACTACATGATAGACTAGAATTTAGAAATCGCTCCTTTTGGATATATTTCAAACACTTTTTAACTAAAATTTTTTCCTTCCCTGCTTTACTTGTATACTAAATTCCCAACAAAATTTTATTTATTTTCTATTTTTCAAAAAAGATTTATTTATTTATTTATTTATACAAGCACTGGGTACAGTCAGAAGCGCAGGAGGGTGAGAGAATTAGCCAGAGCGGGGAGCAGAGCAGGCAGAAGGACCAAAGTACACTGCTGAGGGGAGCAACGGGCGGCAGGAGAGGTCTCCGCGCCATGGGGGACCCTCCTCGGTGGCCGGGGAGCAGCCGGGGATCGAACCGGCGCTGCAGAGGCTGCGGGCAGCTTCGCAACCCAGTGCTCAACCGCTGCGCCACCGGGGAGGCCCCCAGCAAAATTTTAAAGCAATATTTAGATGTATTGTGACACTAGTTTAATAACTAACTTGTCATCAACGCAGTTTTATACCACTGTCTTTCTTTCAAAGCTTAAGATATTATTGTTATGATTTAAAACATAGTACTAGCTTATGAAAGCAATCAAGACAACACACACAAAATAAGAGAGTAAAAGTCAGCTATAGGGAAAAAATGACATTTGGAAATAAAAGTCAGATAGGGAAAATAAACCAGTAAGAATTTTATTGTTGAATGACAGTGAACAGAAATGGGCGAGTAGATAATTTATTTTCTAATAAGGTTCTTAGCACACAGAAAAGTATTTTTTTTTAATTATGTTGAGGATATGGATCTTTGCATTTTGAAAAAATTGTGTCTTCAGCTCCATGTGTGATTCTGTATTAGAATAAGTGCTTCAGACTTTTAACAGATAATTTGTGGTGCACAAGAAGTTCAGTATGTGTGCTTTGCAGTATTGGGCATTATTCACATGATACTTTTGTTATCAAAAGTGACCAACTTAAGCTTTCAAAAAGTGCCTAATACATAGATGTTTCCTCATGAGGAACTTACTTTTGTGTCTATACACATGTGACTACACACACAAATGCAGCATACAACGACTCCTTGAAAAGATCTATTTAGTCCTGTGTTACACATACTATGGGCTATAAAGGCAAATAACCAGTGGGCCTGGGATCTCTCTGTCCAGTAGAGAGGGTAGGACATGTTCACTAATATCATGAAAGAATGTCTAGCTGGTGGGGAAGGCCTAATAAAGGAGATGATATTTGTTTGGCACTTGTGTTTCCTTCCTCCATTTCTCTCTTAAATGAATTACTTTAAGTGGCCCCTAGGAGCAGCTATCTAGAAATGGAATT